GCGCGAAGACGGCCCGGGGGGGGCCCGGCTCCGACGGGGGGGCGTCCTCGGAGGCCTCGCGCCCCGGCTGCGGGCTCTCCGCCACCCAACCCGACCCCGCCCTGCTCGACGCCACGGAGGGGGACGCGGTGGAGATGATCTCCGTCGTGATCGAGCTCAGCCCCCCCCTCCCCGCCGACTCTCCGGACGCCTTCGCCCCGCGCGCGGGCCGCGAGGTTGGCCCCGGCGTGTAACTTCGGGGACGAAAGCCTTCGGGGGGGGGGGGTTATCATTTCATTTCCCCCCCATCGTGAGGCGATGATTATCGTTGATAAAGAAACCTTAGAAGCGATGGATCCTATCGTGATGATGCATACCCCCAGTCTGGGCGGTGTATAGAGATAGCGATATCCCAAGCGAGGGATTCCACTCCAGGCTTGGGATTTGTTTTATAGAACTCGCGCGAGTTGCTTTAGTTCGCGTCGTTCACAGTCCGCCGTACGGGGAATGGCGGAGGGGGGGCCCTCGCGGCGACCCCCTCTGGTGTATATATTCAACTTCACCTTCTAGAACCCTATGTTGTGTGTATGGCGTCCTACAGACACTTTTTCAAACAAATAATTATGCCAAATGTTAGAGTATTATTTCTTTCTTTATTTTGAACTTTGAGTATTTTTTTTGGGGGGGGTGGGTGGTGGGGGGTGTTATTTTCCGAATGGGAGTGCTGAAAGCCCGTGGGAGGGGCGCGGTGCCGCTTCTCTCGAATCGCCATCCCCCCCCCCCACACTTCCTCTCCGGTTCGCTGACGCATCGATGTATGCGTTCGATGGGCGGGTCTCTCGCGTGGTAGCGCGTTAATCAATGCCGATCCACCCCGTTCTTCGGACGCCGCGGCGGCGTGTCGTGCGTGAATTCGCGCCCCCCCCCCCTGAGTGGACTTTCGATGTCGATGTGCCTTTCCCCCGCCCTCTTCTCAGGTGTTTTTTCTTAGCCTTCACAGAATGCCGCGGGCCGCCTTTCAGCGCGTTGGTCGAGCGCGGCGCCGCGCTGGGCCCCGCCGCCGGCTTCGCCTTCGACTCGCTCCACCGCTACTCCGCCGCGGCGCTGGAGGAGGA